AATGTTCCAAAAATTTTTTTAAATAATTATATTTTTCGAGGAGTTGATTTAAAATTGTATTAAAAATAATTTTAAATCCTGTGGTCATTTTTATTATTTATAACAATATATTTGAATTCTTATAACGAATTTTATTACATATTTTTAAATATATATATGAATAAATGGGGGGAAATTTTATTGTAAAAATAATTGTATTCTAGGGAAGGAAGTTATTAAAATTTTTCTAAATAATTTAATTCTTTTTGAAAAATTTTATGAAAACTTAAATTATTATAAAAATAAAGATAATAATCAGTAATTACTTCTAGTCGAATTTTATTATTATTTATTGCGAAGGATTTTATTGAAATTTTTGTAAATAATTTAATTTTTTTTTAATTTTACGGAATTTTAAATTATTATAAAACATGAAGATGGCAATTACTCCGAGTCGAAGACTCGGAATGATTGATATCTTCATGTTTTATATTCTTATGAGTTGTTAATTAAAATTTAATTAATAATCAAAAAATTAATTAAAAAGGTTTTGAATTTGAAATTTTTAAAAATCTTAATTCCAATGGAAAATTTATATTATTATATTACTCCAATTATTATTATATTTATTTTATTAGAATATTTCTTACAATCTAATTATTTTAGAAGTGAATCAGAATATTCTTTTTGGGTCAGGAAATAAGTCAAAATTTTGTTTGGAAATCAGAGAAAAGTCCAGGGAAAAACAAAAATTAAATTTTTTGTTTGAAAAAACATTTTAAAAAAAAAAGCATTTTTTTTATAATTGATTTTTTTGGAAATTTCGGATGAAAATGAAGTTCGTTGGAAGACTATTAGTGAAGAATGGTTGCATCATAAATCATGTAGACTTCTATGTATTGTGAAAGGGAATACTTTCTCTCTCTCTCTCTCTCTGTTCCTTTATATACGTAATTTGATGGAAATTCACGTATGTAGATCGAAATGGATATAAAGCATTAATGAATCGCTCGTAACGTTCAACGGGCATTTATGTTCATCTATCTGTATATCATATTCTGAACCGATTGTCACACATTTGGTCCCCAGCTGTTGATGCAGTGTGTGCCATCTGACGAAGATAACTACATTTTAATAAATGATTTATCGATTGACATCATGGATGGGTGCATTCACCTTAAAGTCGATGTTAGTGTTTCGAAAAGAGTTTTCAGTTTGGCCACATATATACAGAGTTGAAAGAAATCGATTGTCCCGAACGAAGGAATTGAACTCGAATAGAAGGAGCTTCAAGTTGCCACTTAACGAAAACCAAGATCACCACGTCTACTTCTCAATGGAACTCTTTCCGAAATTGTCTTCTTGTCGATCCCCCTTTTTCCCCTATTTGGCCCTTCCTTTTAGATAAGAGGCTCTCTCTCACTCTCTCTTTCACTCTTTCTTTCTTTTCTTTTTTTTCCCTCTCAATTCTAGCCATTTCAATTCTTTCCATTTTGCTTTTATTCTGGTTTCTAAATCACTGGTGGTTTGATATCCACCAACCAATTCCCCGTCCGGAATATCACCTGGTTGTTCCTTTTCTTCTTCTCTAACTTCACTTTTTTATCATCTTTTTTTTCACGTCTCGCCCTGGAATGAACTTTCTTAAATTCACATTAAGAGTAATTAATAAAATTTTTATGCGGTTAAATATTATTCCTTCTCAAGTGGCGGTTGGTAAAAATACTTATATGGGTAATTTTTCTGAAAGTGACACTTTTGAAATTTAATTTTTTCAATTTATATTTCTTTTTTTTGAAATTATACGGTTTTTCTATTGAAACTATACTTTATTTCATACTCAAGAGTGAGATTTTTGAGTTGCGCAAAATTAATTCTTAAAAATATTAAAGTTTTTCTTCTTTGGAGAAGATTGACTCGATTATATTAATTTTATTTGATTCGAGAGTTTTTTTTATTAACAATACACGCCAATATCGTTCACGTAATACAAATTAAAATTACACTGTTAAAAAAATAATAATTTGCATATATTTTAATACCAAAAAGCATCGGAGATGAAAAATAAATTTCTTTTCACATTTATTCACATTAGGGCACAATTAATTAAAATATACGAATTTCACAACGTTATTTTAGTTATTACATAAATTCAGTTGAAAAAAATTGTTCAATTTTTTTTTAAAGTGATAAGTAAATGATAAATTTTTACTAGGGAAATTGATAATATTTATTAGAGAGTAGATTTTGTAAAATTAATCCAGACATAAAAAAATTTCATTTTCAGAAGAATCACCATTATTGAAAAGAATTAATAGAGAAACGTTATGAACGATTTTTTTTGAAATTTTAAAGATTTTTATTATAAAACACATTTAAGGACATTGATTTCTTTAATTTTCGGATTCCAGTTGATAAAATAGAAAAAAATTGATTGTAGAAAAGAAAGGCAATTTAAAAGAAACATTATTATTCAATTTATTTTGAAATTCAGTTGTAGAAGTAGATTTTTGTCAGACAACATGATGAAAATTATAAATAACGTTGATGTTAGTAGAACACACCAATTTTAGTCAGACTCAATATAAATTTTTGTATTTTTTCTTTTAGGTTCCGTTTTTAGTAGTAAAAACAAGTTTTAGTCAGACATTTAATCGCTGTCAGTAGTAAATGATAATTTTAGTCAAACACGATACAAATTCTTGTATTTTTTCTTTATAACAGACTCGATGTGACTCTTTCTTTTTTTCCTTGTAGTATTTTTTCTTTTCAGTAGTAAAGGTACATTTTAGTCAGTCATTCACTTTTGAGTAAATTTTAGTATTTTTTAGTAAATTTTAGTAAATTCTCTTCAAGTATTAGTGGAAAGTTTCGATCACACAAAAAATATTATTTATGTTTTAATCTCAAGTAGTAAAAGTCAATTTTTAGTCGGACATGTTCCTTTTCTAATTTTGACATAATAAATTTATCGATTTTCCAGTTCTGGAAAAAAAATTTTCTTTTGGACTTTTCCTGATGTAAATATTAATATTAGATATTTATAATTTTCTAAATTTTAGGATTCAGTTAACAAAATAGAAAAAATTGGGAGCAGTGAAGAAATTTAATCAATTAATTACTAAAGCATTTCAAAAAACATTTTTAGTCAATTTATTTTTGAAATCAGTAGTAAAAATGTATTTTAGTCAGACAAATTAGTAGAAATCATATGATTTTGCAGTTAGTAGTAAAGATCAATTTCAGTCAGACTCAATGTAAATTTTTCTGTTTTTCTTTTCAGTATCTTTCTTCTTCAGTAGTAAAGGTATATTTTAGTCAGACATTCAATATTTTAATTAATTCACTTCCAGTAGTGAATGAACGTTTTATTCAGACGATACATATCATTTGGGTTTTCGTTTTAATCTCAAGTAGTAAATGTCAATTTTAGTCAGACACTTGTTCGACTTTTCTATTCAGTTCAAAAAATTAATTGATAATTTTTTTTTAATTTCTGAATTTAGAAGAAAATATAGGAAAAAATATCAGTATCAAATCAAGGCAATTTTGTCTTTTTAAATATTTTTATTCAATTTAATTTTGAAACACGAAATATTATTAAGTAGCAAAAATTGGTTTTAGTCAGACAAAATATTAAAAATCGTGTAAAATTGCAGTTAGTAGTAAATATCAATTTCACTGAAAAATATTTTACGCAGAAAATAATTGTTTTTTTTAGTTACAAATTTCTTTTTTAATTTTTTAAGAAAGGAAAAATTTTAAAAACTGTTTCGACAAAAATTGTAATGGTCAATTATTTTTTCTTCTAAATCGTTAATTATAAACGTGAATTTAATCAACATAAAGTTAATAAAATTCGGTTTTACTTCAACAAAAATATCTCCAAAGTTGTAAAAATTTTTAAATCAGTAAGAAAAGACATTTCCAGTCAGACTTTAACATATTTAATTTTGGCCATTGAACCTTCATTAATGTCCATTTTAAAAGCAAATATCTGAATAAAAAATATCTCTTATTTAAATTTTTCATTTTCTATTTCCTCAATAAATTTTTCAATTATTAACAAAACTTTACTCCTGAATATGATTTAGTTTATTAATTTATTAATTTAATTAATTTATTAATTTATTAATTTAAAGGTAAAAGGCATTTTTGATTAAAAGGTTATTTTAGTTTATTATTTAAGATACTCATTGGATGGAAATTAATAACTCTTATTACATTAATAAATTAATTTCAATTGTCACTAAATATTAAAAGATTATTAATTTAGAGAAAGAATAAATTAATTTGTAGTTTTACATTTGGTTTCACAATCATTTTTAGTTCGAAAATTGTTCGCGTTTCCTCCGCATCCTCCGTATATAAATTTCAGACACTTTTGTTGATGAGAATCGTATCCATATCGAGGAAAATAACCAAAACATAGACCAGTTTTTAGTGGCAAATTACAAACTGGTGAAAAATAAAATATGTCAAGAATTATTTAATAATTTATTTACTAACTTATTTAGTAAACTATTTAGTAACTTATTAATTAATCAACTTACTTTCAAGTGACAGCACATTCTCGGATTTTGCCACAATACAAAAAGCAAAAAAAATTATAATTTTATGATTCATATTTAACACAAATTTAATACTATTTGTTGCAGAGGAATAAATGAATTAAATTATAAATTTTGCGGTCTTTTTTATACATACAGAATAATTAATTCTAAAAGTGAAATGCAAACTTTTTAAATTTCAATTATAATTATTTTTATTCAATACACTTTTTGTGTTTAAACACTTTAAACGTTCTGCAAACAATAAATAAACTGCTGATATATTTTTATCTATCAATAGCTCGTTAAGCGATAAAGCGTTGAATAATATATTTAAAATACAAAGCCATTCAATTCCTTGGCGTAAAATTCAACAAATAATGACAAAAATTATTATTGTTTACTCTGATCCCTTTTTTTTCTTTTATTATAATTTTTAAATATTAAAATAATAAATATTTCTTTATTATGCTAATATTATTTAGTAGAAATATTTTATTAAAAATATACATATATATTAAAGGTATTTAATTAATTTATTTTTTAACACTGCAGCTATTTTTGTCAAAAAACTACTTTTACTGTTACTACAATCAGCACTGCACTTTGCTTTACATTCTTCCTCGGTTTTAAAATTATTTCCATTTCCTTGGCATCCTCCATATGTAAAAGTGACACATTTTCTCTTAGAAGCATCATATCCATATCGTTGAAAGTCACCCTTACATGGTCCAGTTAACAAAGGCAAGTCACATACTTTCAAAATATTAAAGAGAAAAAAAGAGCACAAAATTTAATATTAAAAATTTTTTCTCGAATTTTTAATTTATAAAAATTTTTATAAATATTAAAGTAATAAATATTCCGTACCTACATTATTTATTTCTTTACAGTGGAAATTTTTTTTTAATTCTTAAAATTATGATACTTTTTTATTTCATTTCATTTTTTTTTCTTTCTTATGTGAGTGTTAAAAAATACATGTTTCGTAGAAATAATAAAAATAATTTCTATTTTTAAATATATTTATATTTTATATTCTTATTATACAGGAAAAAAGAAAAATGAATAAAATGATAACAAAGGGAAGAAAAAATTATTCTGTTACAATTTAATTAATATTTAAAAAAAATTGTTCTTACTTACCATTCTCGGATAATGTTAGTTTTGGAAACAAGGTGATACAAAAAATAAAACAGGGGACTAAAATTATCATTTTCATTTTTTATCGTTACTTTTTTACTACTTTGTGTTTTAACTCGTTGAAGAAATTCTTTCTAATGACATTTAGCTTTGACCACAGTTTACAGAATTATCTAATTTTCTATGCTGACCTCATAAAAAAAACAATTATTTACTTTGCAATAATTCACTTGACTCATGTTTTAAAAACAGCAATTAAAGAAAATTTGTTTCCTTCTTTTACATTTTTATTTACTTTTTAGTTTTTTTTTACTAAAAATAAACTTGCAATTATTTTAAAAATCGTCTGCAATTTTATGTTTTTATTACTTTAAACAATTGTTACTGCACATCAAAATTTTATTACTTTAAAAAAAAGTCATAAGCTACTTTAAATATTTTCTTTGTTTCTGATTATGAATCCGATGTTTGTTTTTAAAAATTCAAAATGGCGGATCCAACATGGCGGATGAAAGGTTAAAAATCACTTGGATTTGTTTAAAAACTTGTTACTTGGGGATTTTTTAATCGAATTTCGATTTCTTCGAAATATTATTTAACAATTTGACAAATAAATATATACAAAAGAAATACAAATAAAATATAAATAAATATAAAGATAATAAATATGTAAAAATTTATATAATATTCTTAAAGCAAAACATAAAAATCTACCTTTGTTATACATTTTTGTGACAATATTGTTGCGTTATCTTTGAATAATATACTATCAAAAATTTACATTTTTATTAAAAAATAGTCAACTTTTGTCGAAATTGCTTAAATATCATAAAAAATTCTCAACTTTCATTAAGTTTACATAACTTTCTTCATTTCTTCTCTCCACATTTTTCTTGAAAAATATTCAACTTTTAATAATGATCAATTTTCTTTAGGAATTGACAACAACCTTCAAAAATATTGAATTTTTATCGAAGTTGATCAATTTTCTTCAGGGATGAATATTAACCTTCAAAAATACTCAACCTTCATCAAATTTGATTAATTTTTAATATAAAAATTATTCTTATTCAAAATTACTCAATTTTTATCAAAAACTTATTCAATTTTCATCAAATTAACTCAATTTCCATTAAAAATTTATATCTTTGTTTAAAAGTAATTATTTTTTTATGAAATAATAACTGGATTTTTCTTTCTTAAGAACTCACACTCTGCTTTAAAAATACTCAACTTTCATCAAGTTTGATCAATTTTCTTCAAGAATTAACATTAAACCTTTAAAAATACTCAACTTTCATCAAATTTGCTCAATTTTCTTCAAAGATTTCGCATTAACCTTGGTAAATTCTTAACTTTCACAAAATTGGACCAATTTTTATCAAAAAGCTAATTATATATTATTCATCCATTTTATTATTTTCAAAAAATACTTAATAAAATATATATCTATATATATATATATATAAAATTATGTTTAATTAAATTCTAATAAAGTGAAATTTATGTAATGTAGAAAATTGATTAAATGGAATTTCTCTTAAATAATATTTCGGAGAAATCAAAATTTGGTTAAAAAAGAATTCTTTCAAATATTTTTTATTTAAAAATTCGTTTAAATGACATTCTGTTGAATAAAAATTCTACCAAATGAAAATTTTGATAAATTAAAATTCGACTTAATGGAAATTCTGCCAAATAAAATTTTTATTATGAAAAAATGTTCTTTTATAGAAATTCGTTTAAATGAAAATTATACCTAGTAAATAAAAATTCGCAGAAAGAAATTTCGGTTAAAGACAACTTCTAACATATAAAATTCTGTTTTTACAAAATAATTAAAAAAATTGTCTTGTGGAATAATAAGGCCCCCGAAATTGATAGAAATAAATTATTATAAATATAAAGATAATAAATATATAAAAATTTATATATGTGCATAAAAATTAAAAATAAAGGACGTGAGTTTGTACGAATAGGTGGTAGCGTCAAGTCGATAGAAAGAGACAGCGAGTGTTCCTAACGTCCCCTCTTCTTTCTCTCTAGAGACGTGAGCGGGGAAAAAACTGGACGCGCAGGCGCGAAGCGGCTGCGCGGACAGTTTTTTTCCCGCCAATTTTAGGAATCTCAATATTTTTAAAAAAATTACTTAACTAAAATAAAAAAAAAATATTCTTATTAAATATTTATTTAAGAGCAGGCGGGGGACATAAAGTTGTTTCGTTTAAATTTTAAAATAAAAGCGTTGATAAATTTGAAAAAAAGAAAATTCGACTATTTATAAACAGTTTTGAATATAAATGAAAATTTCCAAGAGTGAATTTCTACGTCTTATTAAATGCTTTTATAACGAATTTTCGTAAATGTTAGCATTAAGTTTGCCGAGGAAACTGGCGTTATCAAACGAATAGTGTCACAAAGCTTCTCGCTCAGGCAGTGTCACATATTCATCAAGGAAAGTAGATTCTGTCTCCTACTATATATGCATGCAAGCGAACTTATATACATATATACGCACTGTTCATGACACCACTTTTGCTTTAAAACATATATGTATATATATACGTATATAGAATGTAATACTCCGGCAATCACTGATGCGTTTCATATTATCCGTCATTTACGATGAACGTAATTTCGTTTTTCACATCAAAGCTGATATTTTATTTCTCCCTCCCCTTCTCTCTCTCTCTCCTTTTTTTTATGAAATAATAATCCTTAAAGTGCGTAATAACTTTTCAACTGATTCTTTCTACGAGAGAATATATATTTCAACATATTTTTACGATTTATTTTTCAAGTCCCTTTTTGAAATTTTTAATTTTAAAAATGAAAATCTCTTTGTATAAGAAGGGAAATATGAAATCAAAAATTATTATTTGCATTAAATATCAAATCAGTGTTGAATTTAAGACTGATCTTAAATTGAGATTTACTTTTTACTGTATGATAATCATAATAATAATCATAATAATAATATTTATAATAATAATAGTAATAATAATAATAATCATAATAATTGAAAATAAAAATAATAATAAAACCTTGAGGTGTAAAAATAGTAAATGTAATGACAGGACAGAAAAAGTACAGCAATAAGTGAAAGAAGTAGCACAAAAGAAGTTGAACAAAATGGTACCGAGTGACTTTAAAGTGACAATGAGATCTTAGGAATCTAGTTGGAAAGTAGTAAAAACCTGGGCAGGAATTTCTTTCCGTAAAGACAGTTATAGGGAAAAGGAAAACTTTTTCGATAACGTTTAGCGAAAATAAGGCAAGGAAAGAGAGTTTTAAAAAAAAAGACAAAGTAGAAAATCACAATTTTCTTTCAAATAATTTATCATATAAATTTTCACTCAAACTATACGAGTACCATGTACTTCAACCTTTTTTCTCCCTTCATTATTTTTTTTTTACATTTTTCCATCTTCTCATCTTTTTTTGAGAACACGAGATTATATGTTTAAATTCGTTACATGAACATTCATAAATTTATAAGATATATAAGAGACGAGAAATACATAGAATTTTCAACATTTCGTGTATAGAATTCGAAGGCAATTAAAGAGGCATTTTCCATTTCGAGTATCTAAAAGTGACTCTTTAACTCTTCAACTTGAAACTGTTTCGTTCGAAAAGTTCGTTTTAAGCGATATTGCGAAGATGTGGCATTAAGGGGACAGGGGAGGGGATATGGGCTCTGAGAGAGCTTTGGACTGTCACAAAAGTTATACTCTCGCTCTCTTTCTCTCTCCCTCTCTCTCTCTCAAGATTTCCCGAGTCACATACGAGCCAGGGAAAAATGTATACGTTCTCGTTTTGATCTTTTCGCACCTCGTGAAATCTTCTCTTTTGCTTTTTCTTGTACGCTTTTTCACTTTATGACATATTTTTATATACAAGATGATTTAAAAACACGTCAAGACAGACAATTTTATAACATTCTCGGAAATAAAAAGTCATCTATTCATTTTACAGTCAATGAAAAAAGTGTTAATACTTTGAAATTGACAAAAAAGAATATACCAGGAAAAAAAACCTAAACAACCGGAATGAAAAGAATTTTTTTTTTTAATCCCAGAGAAGAAAGCAAAAAAAAAAGATCACAGGTAAAAGACTCATGGAAAGCAGGGTAATCTTGAAAATTGGTTTCATCGACTCAACATTATAAATAAACATAAAAGTGTCAAAGAATCTCGCATGTGTGTGTGTGTGCACCACCTTTTTCTGCTTTTTCAATATCTCGTCATCTTTTCACGGAATTTTCTGTTGGGGGAAAAAAAAATTGCGCAAAAAAAAAAAAAAAGTCTCTAGGAAGAGCTTTGACGTTTAAGAGAATTGATATACACTCTCATCAAATTGAAAATAGAATTTCGTTTCTTATTTAATGACCTTCATCGTAAATCAGGGAAAGTAGAGTAGTTTTTTTCTTCTTCTTTCAACACAAAATAGAATCCTTGACGATTTGTACATTTATAGATTGAAAAAATAACACAGACTAATGTTGAAGTTGCATGTTTGGTGTGAACAGAGCAAAACCCTTGAAAGCAATTCATCATTCATGTCGTGCTGTTCGAACATGCGCGAATAAACTATATATACAGTTCTTTTTAAGTAAAAGAAAAATACAAATAAGTAAACATTGTATTCTAAATTCATCGAGTGTGAAATCTATAAGTTATTGTCTATAGGTTTTTTTTTTTGCAGTGCGGGGCAAATAAATATTCGATATTATCATTCCAGACATATTTCGATAGAAATTGATGAAAAATTTAAACATTTTTTATTTTACAATTTTTATGAAAATATTTTCCTTCATTTTCACAATTTTTCTGAGGATAGCAAATTGAGACAAAAAAAACGAATCAAAACGTTGCTTCGCAACACATTTGATTCGTTTTTTTTTCTCAATTTGATATCAGCAGAAAAACTGTATTATAAAAAATTTTTTAACTTCTCGGTTTTATTTTCAATTAAAAATTGAGACAAAGAAATAGAAATTATACAAAATTTTTTTATTTATTACTAAAAAAAAAATTGGAAGATTTGTTAAAAAATTGTGATGAATAAATATAAATGGTAAAAATTTATTTCTTTTTTCTTCTTTTCAAAAAAGAAAGAAAAAAAATTATGATCTACCTGTCAAGGTAAATAAAAGCACAAAATTATCATTAAATCTAAATTTCAACCAAATAAATATTTTCTTGACCTAAATATTTTATATTATGGTTTAATTGGGGTCAAATTCAAATTATTTAAATGAAATAAATTATATAATTGTTGAAGAAATAAATAATGATTTTGTACCAAATAAAAAAATTGTTTAAATACGCTTTTAATTTTTATTGCAGTAAGTACATATTTGTAATTATTTATTTAAAAAAATATTTCTTTCTTTTTGAAATTTTGAAGTTTTTGTTGCATTAAATTTAAATGAAACGAAAGTGTTTAAAAAAATAGGCAAAGTTATTACTATAATTAGTAAATTTGACATGAAATCGATTTTTCAATGAATTTTTAATCAAAATGAATCTTTTTTATCACAGAAAAGAAATAAAGAAAATAATTTATCTGAATTCGAACATAAATAAATCTACAAATGGCTTCAAAAATTTTTATTCGAGTTTTTATGAATAATTAAATTCTTTTGACGAATTTCTTTAAATTTTTTGAAAATAATTTTTTTTTTAAATAATTTTAATTAAACATTTAGAAAATAATTAAATTAAACAAAGAATTTTTTCAATTTTTTCAAATAATCTTGTCTGTTCATAATTATAATTGGAAATTTGATTAATTCAATTTTATTAAAATTTGTGTTGATACTAATTGAATTTCTGCAAACAATTTTACTATTTATAAAAGTAATTGAATCCTTTCAAAGAATATTATTATTTATGAAAATAATTAAATATTTGCGTAGAATTTTATTAAATTTTTTGAAAATAATTGAATTGTGGAGAATAATTTAATTATTTATAAAGATAATTGAAATTTTGAGGAGAATTAAAAAGAATTTTTAAGTATAATTGAATTTCTGCGAAGAATTTTATTACTTTTAAAAATAATTGAATTGTTTTTTTAGAATTTTATGGAAATAAATGAAAATAATTGAATTCTTGTGAAGAATTTTTTTAAAAAATAATATTCAAAAAAATTTAGTTAATCTGAAGAGTTTTGCTATTTATAGAAATAATTGAATTCTTGAGAAGAATTTTTTTGCAGTTTCTAGAAATAATTGAATTTCTGCAAAGAATTTTATTACTTTTAAAAACAATTGAATTGTTTATTAGAATTTTATGAATAGTTTATGAAAATAATTGAATTTTTGTGAGAATTTTTTTTTTAAATAATATTCAAAATAATTTAGTAAATCTGAAGAATTTGGTATATTTATGTAAATAATTGAATTCTTGAGAAGAATTTTTTTACAGTTTCTAGAAATAATTGAATTCTTTCCACGAATTCAAAAAAATTTTTAAGAATAATTACATTTTTCGAGGAATTCGATTAAAATTGTTTTAAAAATAATTTAATTTCGGAGAAGAATTTTATTACTTTTAAAAATAATTGAATTGTTTTTTAGAATGTTATGAAAATTTATGAAAATAATTGAATTCTTGTAAAAATTTTTTTTAAAAATAATATTCAAAAGAATTTAGTAGGTCTGAAGAATTTTACTATTTATAGAAATAATTGAAGTCTTGAGATGAATTTTTTTACAGTTTCTAGAAATAATTGAATTCTTTCGACGAATTCGAATAAAATTTTTAAGAATAATTTCATTTTCCGAGGAATTCGATTAAAATTGTATAAAAATTAATGGAAATTTTGCAATGAGTTCTACTATTTATGAAAATAATTGAATACATTGCGAAGATATTTTTAAAAATAGAATTTTAATTACGGTGACTAATTTCCCTGGATTATTTTCGAAAAATTTAAATACAATTCTTTAAAAGAATTTAATTATTTTTAATATAATGTAAAGAAATTTCAATTATTTCAAAAATTTTCAATTATTTGCTTATATAAATTAAATTATCTTGAAACAATAGAATTGAAAAATTTCAAAAATCTTATTTTTTAGAATTTTCAAAAAAAAACTTTGCGAAAATTCAATTTTATTAAAAAATTTTAAGTGTCTATCTTTTTTTAAAAATTAACTAAAAAAAATTTTAATTATTAATCCTCGCACTAAGAAACATGAATACATTAGAATGTGACTCTTTATAAAATTCCATTATTTATCAATTATTAAATTAAATTTAAAATACTTTGAAAATTCGATTTGTTAAACAGTTTTTAATGAAATTCTTTTAACAAATTTAATTATTTTCAGTTGAATTTCACCAAATTTCTATTAATTCGATAATTTTTGTTTAATTTATTTACATATTATATTTAAATCAGTGAATGATTTTTTACTATAAAAATAATTATATTTTTAACAAATTCAAATTTAGAGAACTGTTTAAATATCTATAAAAATTAAAATAAAAAGCGAGTATTTTAAATACAAATTAAAATAATAATTTTTTTTAATTTGGTGAAAAAATTCCCGATTTGGCATAAAATTTCTCGCTTATTCCCGGTTTTTCCCGGTCAAATTGAATTCCCGGCTATTTCCCGGATTTTCCGGTTAGTAGACACTTTGAAAATAAATAAATAAAGTAGAAAAATACAAAAAAAAAATGTTTGAATAATTGCAAAGATTTTTTATTAAAATTCTCAGTCTTCTTTTTATTTTCATTGAGAAAGACGACAGGAAGATTTACTAGAAATATTGTCAATGATCATTGAACGTATTGTTTAGAACGTGTAAAATCTTGTGAAAATCGCACTGAGGATTGGGGTAAAAATCGACTATCTCTCTTTTTCTCTCTTTTTCCTTTTTTCGCACGTGAGAGGCAAAATGCCTTGACATCAAGTGACAAACGATACGTGTGTTATTTCCACTTCAACCTGTCAAGACTCCAAACCAGTGAGATGGTAAAAGGAGGGGTTTTTTTTCGGAAGAATGTGTATATATATACACATACATTTAGGAAAAATTGTGAAAAAGACATGCAGAAGTAAAAGGAAGAAAGTAGTGGGGGAAAAGGTGAAGTGAGAATATATATATAGAGAGAGAGCAAGAAAAAAAGAGGAAGGTGAAAAAAAAACTGAAGACCATCGATCAAATTCCCTCGAGTATATCGACTAGACTATTTCTCTCCAATAGGGATGGATCGTGAGGCAGGAACTAATGATAACTTATTTTTAAAAATGCCTTTTTCTGGGTAGAAAAGAGAGTCGCATTCTCTACTCGATTATATAGAGGTAGAGGGGTTATTCTTATACTCTCTCTCTCTCCCTGGCAAATACTTTACTCTTATCATGAAAGAGGAGAGTAACTGATGAAGTCTCCTCGTACAGTGTAACCAGAGAAATTAATAGCTTGGTGGAAAATGAATAACAGTGCCTTGGTTGTTTTGGACAACAATCAAATGGAGTCGAGAATTGTAGAGACCCACTAAACCATGAAAACTCCCTGAGACAAAACTAGTCCACTGGGGAGTTGTATGTGCAAGTGCAAGAAAAATAATAACAATACACAACATCCGGCAGTAGAGAGTTCTTATAAACTTGGAAAGAAATACATTGGGATTTTCTTTGTCGCATGGGAGAGAAAAAAGGGTAGCTATATCTTTTTATGGGATACATGACAGTGATTTATTTCTATCAACTCTTTGTAGATTTTTTGAAACTATGATTTTCTTTTTCGTTTGGAAAAAAAATTTTTAAAGCAATGAATTAATAAATTTTCATTTTCAACGAAGAAAATTGAAAATTTAAATGAAGAAACTGAAAGTAATGAAGAAAATAAAAATTTTAATGAAGAAACTGAAAGTAATGAAAAAAGTAAAAATTTAAATGAAGAAACTGAAGGTAATGAAAAAAGTAAAAATTTAAATGAAGAAACTGAAGGTAATAAAGAAAATAAAAATTTAAATGAAGAAACTGAAGGTGAAGAAATAAATTGTAGTGAAGGGTAGTAAAACAAATAAAGAAGGTATCACAGTTTTTCTGAGGATATCAAATTAAGACAAAAAAAGAATCAAAAGTGTTGCGAATTTTGTCTTAATTTGATATCCTTAGAAAAAATGTGTAAATAAACATTTTAAAAAAGAAAAAACTCATGTAGATTTGATATATTTTCAACTTGACGTACAATTTCGTTTACACTCTTCCAATGTTGCGAAATTATTTGCATTACCTAAGCATCCACCGTATGTGAAACTCACACAATTTCTGCTGGTATTACTAAATGCATAACGTCTCCTGTAACGACGACATGGTCCCGCATCGATCGGCAAATCGCAGACTATGAAAACAAAATGTAAATTTAGAATTTAATTTTCACTCAAAAAAAAAAAAAAAATCTATAGAGAATTTTACAAGAATTTTTCGAAATTTTACTAGAAGAATAATTCAATAGAATTTCTATTTTAATTGTAGTAAATATTAGACAGAAACTTATAATATTAACCTATAATATCAATATTAAGGGCATGTGGGATTTATCTCTTGAAAAAGTTGTTTCTCTCGTGTCGTCTCACTGCTAAATAATTTTCGATATCTCGTTCGGATAATTAGAGAAATGATGAAGAATATTCTTGAAATTTGCAAGTAATTTTTGAAATAAGTTTGAAATTGAAAAACGCAGTTATAAAAGTTGCATTACTTCAATTTCAATCTTCGCAAACATTCAATAATTTTCATAATTAACAAAATTTGTACAAGAATTTAATTATTTACAAATACAATTTTTACCAAATTTTTCTAAAAAAAAAAACTTATTATTTAAAAAACATTTAAGAAAATTCTTCGTAAAAATTCAATTATTTTAAGAAATAAAATTATTTACGGTGATTCAATTATTTAAACAAATTTAAAAAAACTTCTTCGCAGCAATTCAGTTATTTTTACGAACAATAAAATTTATCACATGAATTCAATTATTCAATAAAATTTTTAAAAAATGCGTTACAAGAATTCAATAATTATTTTTATATATAATAAAACTCATCGCAGGATTTCAATTATTTAAAAAAAAAAATCTAAATAAATTCCTCGAAAAATATAATTTTTCTTAAAAATCTTAATAAAATTCTTCAAATGATTTCAATTCTAAAAAAAATATTTAATTATTCAATGAATTATTTATTTTTGTATTAAATAATTGAATTCTCAAAGAACTTTCTAATAAGAATTAATTGAAAAATTAATTTTTATGAAAATTTCGGATAATAATTGAATATTAGTATTTCTTTTTAGATTTGTGACACTAAAAGATACTTTTTTCTTTCTTTTTTCTTGAAAATTTTCCAATAGTCGAAATAAAAAAATTATTCTAAAAATTTTTTATAAAATTCTTTGAAACGATTCAATTATTTTCAATATTTACTATTTTTTTAATAAAAAATTCCCCAAAATAAATCAATTATCAAGAAACAAATTTTTGAGGAAAATTTTTCTTTGCAAACATTTACTGCTGAATAATTTTCCATGAAAACACTTTTTATGTCAACTCCCTTAAAAAAATTTGTTTTCAATAAAATTGTTCTTCGCAAACATTCAATAATTTTCATAATTAACAAAATTTGTACAAGAATTTAATTATTTAAAATACAATTTTCACCAAATTTTTCAAAAAGAAAACTTATTATTTAAAAGAAATTTTAGAAAATTCTTCGTAAAAATTCAATTTTTTTAAGAAATAAAATTATTTACGGAAATTCAATTATTTAAACAAATTTTTAAAAATCTGCTTGGCAGGAATTTAGTTATTTTACAAAAAAAAAATTGTCACATGAATTCAATTATTTTTATAAATAACACAACTCATCGCAGGATTTCAATTATTTTTAAAACAGTTTAAACTAAATTTCTCGAAAAATAAAATTTTTCTCAAAGATTTTATTTCAATTCTTTGAATGAATTCAATTCTAAAAAAATATTTAATTATACAATAAATTATTTATTTTTGTATAAAATAATTGAATTCTCAAAGAACTTTGTAATAAGAATTAATTTAAGAATTAATTTTTATGAAAATTCTGAATAATAATTGAATATTAGTATTTCTTTTTAGATTTGTGACACTAAAAGCTATTTTTTTCTTTTTTTTTTCTTGAAAATTTGCTAATAGACGAAATAAGAAAATTATTCTAAAAATTTTGCAAGTAATTTTTTAAATGAGTTTGGAATTGAAAAACGTAGTTATAATTTTCATCTTTTTAAATGACATGACGACCACGAAACTACTTTTTTCCCATTTGCCTTTAATAATAATATTAATAATATTAATATATTAATTATTATTACTATCCAATTTCTTAATATCTATAAAAAAATTAATGTGTCAAAATGTTCATTTATTACGTACAATGTAAAAAGAAAGGTACTAATTTAGTACCAATTTTGGTACTAAATCGTAATTTGGTTTGATACCGAAATCAGCTCTAGTTTAAAACCTTCTTTTTACAATGTATTTTATAAAATAGAAGATAAAAAAATAATTTATTTAAAAAAATGTAATTAAATTGTAAAATAAAAATATAAAACAGTTAATCAAAGAAATAGGTTTATTAAACCATCGACGTAAACAGAAGCTGGTAGTCGAAATAAAAATAAAGAGAAATATCCAAGAAATTGAATTGAACTTACTGCTTTGAGACAGGCAAATCTCTGGCATTGCAATAATAAAAGTGAATAGGAAAATTATTAAAAGTCGATAGTTCATTTTTTTCACATTACTCACGCAGAGGCACTTTATTCACAAATGTACTGTACTGAAACGATTCAATAGTATTTAATTAAAAAAGAAAAAGGAAAAAAGAATTGTTAGACTATACACTTGGGTATTAAAAAAAAGCAGATATGAATTTATTGTTTCATAAACCAATTTTTTTTTCCTCATATGATGTTATGATAATACAGAGATAAAATATTTGTTTTAGATGATTCACATTTTTTCCTCAGTTTCTTGTTATTTCTCGAACATTAAGCAAAACCGTACAATAAATAATAAACAAGAGATACAAATTTTTGATTTTTTTTCACAGAACAATATTTTGTTGTATAAAATTTATTATCATTATTTATTATTAACCACGAACGCATGTTCTTTTGCATTCTTCTTCAGTTGCGAAATTATTAGAATTTCCCAAGCATCCATAGAAAAATATGATACATCTGTTTGCAATACGATAGTAGCCCCATCTTTCAACACGATCTCTGCATGGTCCACCATCTATTGGTTGTCTACAAGCTTCATTTAAAAAAAAAAATTTAATCTTAAAAACACTATTTTTCATTCTTTTTTCTGATTTATACTTTCTCACTTTCTTTTCTTTTTTTATACAATAAAAAAAGTCACAATCTACTTTTAAATATTTTCTGTATTGCTGATTAAGAATTCGATGTTTCTTTCGAAAAATTCAAAATGGCGGATCCAACATGGCGGCTGAAAGTATAAAAATCACTCGGATTTGCTTGAAACTTGTTATTTGGGGATTTTTTGGGGTTTCTAGTTACGAATATGATTTTAATATTTCAAAATGACCCTGAAAAATCCCCAAGTAATAAGTTTCAAGCAAATCCGAATGATTTTTAAATTTTAACTCTTTCGTCCGCTATTTAAAATTTTTTAAAATGAACTTCAGACTCGTAATCAGTGACCTCGAAAACCTCCGAGTAACAAGTTTCAAGTAAATTCTATGAAATTTTTTATTTTTTCAGACATTTTGGATCCGCTATTTTAAAATTTGACTTTCTTGGGAAAATTTAGTAACTGATTCGAATTCAGCGTAAAAAATACGTTTTGAGTTCAAAAATAGACCAGGATTTGTAAATTATTTAAATAATTAATTAATTATTTAGATATAAAACAGTAAATACCTAATATAAATAAATATATTCAATGAGACTTACTTCTTTGGGATTGAATCAATTCTGGCATTGTTATTATAAAAAGAATCAGAAACAGAGTTGTTATAATTTTGTAATTCATTTTTTGTGTTTTACAATTAAAATGAAGTATTAAACTATTAATAATTGTTTTTTTTATTAATTATTTAGTTAATTTAAAAAATCTAGAAGAACAATAAAACGAATTAAATTAATTTTTCGGAGGGTGAGGAATAAATTAATGATTGAAATAGTAAACACGTTATTAGAAATACTATTCACTTTATAGTTAGTAAAAGAATTGCGACAAAAGAGAAAAATCCGTTTAAATATAGTCGTTGGTGATGTAATAAAAGAAATTTATAGGGAAAAAAAGCTGTTTGACACCTTTTGACATTGTTTGCTTTCGGTTATTTCGTATGCGATTTCTTAGTTGTGTTTTTATTCGAACAAATTTTTTCCTTATATATAATTTACTTTTTTTCACGAAATAATAAATAGCCATACACAACAGTCTAAAAATAACAGATGAACGATTTTTTATTTGTTTCCATAAACTCTTTATTTTCTAATATTTTCCTTTTTCTGATAATTGATGAAACAAGAATTCTATAAATACTTTCGTAAACAGAAATTAGAGAGAAAAAAATAGAAAAAGTCAGAAAAGAAAAATTCCAAAGTCGATCTATTGATTTTTTGTTCATTAAAATAAAAATATTTCAGTTTTATTTTGAATTGCTGCATTGTCTTTCGCATTCTTCTCTTGTTACGAAATTATTAGCATTTCCTCCGCATCCTCCATACATAAATAGCTCGCAACGTCTTTGAGAAAATACGTACCAGTATCTGGGAATAAGTGCATCGCATGTTCCCCTCTTCATCGGCAAACGACAGACTATTGAAAAAAAGGAATTGAAAAATTGATTTTAATTTTTTATTTATAAATAAGTAAATAAAATAATAAATTGGAAAATATATTAAAACTATGAAAAAAGTCTGGGGAAATTCAAATCAAATAATAAATAAATTATATAATAATATTTTATTAACAATGGATTAAGTGTAATTAATGTGAATTTAAATTTAAATAATTAAATTAAATTAACAATATAATAGTAATAATTAAAAAAGTGGTAAAAATTAATTATCAAGAAGATTTTTTAAGCTTAGATAAAATTGTGAAAATTAAAAAAAAACTTACTAGGATTTGGTGCTATTACTTCTGATATTGAAATAATAAAACAGATTGTAAAGACGAGAAAAATTTTGTAATTCATATTGAAAAGTAGAAAATTTATTTTCTTGTATATTATAATTTTCTCGGAAACGGTTTGAAATTATAAAAAAAGAGTTTTAGATCCTCGACTTATAAATACCGTATCAAAAAAATATTTAAATTAAAAGATTACGCAGCGTCCAATAGGAATTCCGAGTATTTATTTAAAAGAAAACAATTTTCAATAATATTTTCAATAACAATTTTCAATAAATCGACTTTTAAAAAATTTCTCTTACAATTTCCTTATTATTCTTTATTATAAATATTTTTCTTCGTAAGAAAATGAAAACACTTTTTCCATTTGTCCTCAGGGTATTAAATTTTTTTTTTCAATAAATAAATAAACAATTTTAGTAAAATGAAACACAGTTTTTCCGCAGATATCAAAATTGAGACAACAAACGAATCAAAATGTTGCTTCGCAACACTTTTAATTCATTTGTTGTCTCAATTTTGATATCTGCAGAAAAACTGTAAAAATAATAAAGAAATTAAAAAATAAAATTCAGTCTAAAAAAGTTAAAATCTAAATGCAATTTGAAAAAATAAAATGAAAAATGAAAAATAAAATAGAAAATAAAAAATAAAATAAAAAATGAAAAATAAAATAAAAGTAATACTAAAAATTCCATAATATGAATGTATCGAAAAATAAATAAAAATTTATAAATTTTTCTCTTCTTTATATATAAGAACCTTTAATACAGGAAGTTTTACATAATTCGCAAACATGCTGGAATGTAGGGGCTCATAAAATCGAATTGCAAATTTCTGTTCCTATCTAAGGAATTCTTGTTATCATCCTGAAATGGGATATTGATTTCTAACTTAGTCCTTTTGCAAACAAATTCAGAAACAAGAATTTTAAGTGACATTATAAAAGACAAAGTATAGAGATTATGTAATTTTTATTATTTTTTTTCAAAACGTCAGGAACTTGGGATGTAAATAATAAATTATGAATAATATTTTATAGATAATAATCAAAATACGATAAATGATGGCTCATTAATTATTACTCAACACCTGTACAAAATTCTTCGCATGCACTCTTTGATTCAAAATTATTTGCATTTCCATCACATCCACCATATGTAAATTGTTGACATGATCTTGCTGAAGGAACATAGCCATATCGTTCGAAATTTGCTCGACAGCGTCCAGTCAATAGTGGCAGTCTGCAAACTGGAAAAAAATTATTTAATTTTTTATATATTTATAAAATTTTACTTTTAATTTTATATTTACGTCCATAGAGATTTAAATTTAAACTTTGTTGCAAAATATTTTTCATTAATGCTAAAAATGAATTTTCAACTAAGTAAATATTTACGTTACATTATTTTTCGTTTGAATATAAAAATTTTTGACGAAAAAAAATTTATTTTTATTATTTATTTATTTGGTCGAAAAAAATGTGTTTATTTACAAAATTAACGAGATTAAGAAATAAATATAACAAAAATAATAATGAAAAGCAATTTTTTTTTAACTTATTAGTAAAAAATAAAAATATTTATTTACTTTTTTAGGGATATTTAAAAATTTTATTAAATTGAAATTGAGTAAATAAATCGTTTACTAAATGAAAAATTAGCAACAGACATTTTTTACCATCAAATCAAATTGGTTTTAACCAGTAAAAATTAAAAATATGCAAAAATATAATTTATTATAAATAAAAATGATATTAAAAATTTTAAATTAATTGAATAGAAATAAATATAAAAATTATTCTATTGATTTTATTTTATTACCAAATTATTATTAAATATTATTATTTTTCGTTACGGTCCTAAAGTTTTAAACTTTCAAATAAACGAAATTTATTTATTTCTTGCTCAAATTAAATTTTTATTATTAATAATAATAAATTTTTATTATTAATTTTCCATCACTAGAAATAAACTTCAATTTTTAAAGTTTTTTAGTGGAATTTGAATTTTTTATTTTTATTGCAATCAGTAATTTATGAAAATATTTTTTTCATTAAATTATTATTAAATAAATTATTAATTAAAAATTAAAACTTAAATAAAAAATATTATATTAAATTAATATTTATTAATATTTTATTAATTAATAATTATACGCTTTCAAAACTTGTGGATCATTTTTGATTTCGTCAACACTTTTAATTCAGAAAATAAAATACACTAAGAATAAAGAAAAGAATAAGAAAAAATAAAATAAAATAAAATAAAATAAAATAAAATAAAATAAAATAAAATAAAATAAAATAAAATAAAATAAAATAAAATAAAATAAAATAAAATAAAATAAAATAAAATAAAATAAAATAAAATAAAATAAAATAAAATAAAATAAAATAAAATAAAATAAAATAAATAAAATAAAATAAAATAAAATAAAATAAAATAAAATAAAATAAAATAAAATAAAATAAAATAAAATAAAATAAAATAAAATAAAATAAAATAAAATAAAATAAAATAAAATAAAATAAAATAAAATAAAATAAAATAAAATACCTTTGAAAAATAATTGCAAAATTGATACAAAAATCGAAAAATCAAGAGATGAACAAAATTATTGTAAAATTAATATCGACATACTTTCATTTCCTTGTCCATTTGATTGGTCAAATTCCATCATAAATATGACGCACAATACGAAAAAGAATGTAAAAAATTTATAATGCATTTTTGGGGAATTTTTAATTTCAAAATTTTTTAATCTTTTGCCTTTAATATTGGAATTTTTGTGAATTTGGAAATATTTTTCTTTTTAATAACAGTATAAAATATACTCTTTCGTTCATGCAAGCATATCTAATAAGATTCGTTAAAAAAAATTGTTGACCATAAATAGCCAGACATGTATTACCAACAAGTGACGTGAACTTGTGAAAAATAATATTTTAATGTTTGAATATTTCCAACTGACCAATGAGTGATTACTGTAATTGTTTGTTTATCTAAATTTAAAAGCAAAATTTTCCTTGTTTTCCTTTCCGTTAAAACTTGTTTTGTGATAATTTAAAAAAAAAAATTTTTTATTACTTTTCGAATGAGAATGGTATTGTTTTAATGATAACGAGTTAAAAAAAATTAAGTGTTTATTCTTTTTTTTCCTAATTACTGAAGGTAGATTTATTTTATTAATTACTAAAGAAGATTCGTTAAAAATTTTTTTCAATACAAAAATAAATGGACTAAAAATTTTCTGTATCCTTTAAATAAATTATTCTGAAAAAAATACAATGTTCCAAAAGTTTCGAACGTTCAAATGAACATTTTTTTAGTTCCTTTAATTTGTTTTTTTTTTTGCATAAAAGAAAATAATTTTGTATAGATTTAAAAAAATAATTTTGAACTGAATAAATACATAATTTTAATATTTTCTTTTTTGTGTACCTAGTAGTTTTTAAAAATGTTTACATAGAAATAAAAATCGTTCATTTGAACGTTCAAAACTGTAAAAATATAAAACTTGAAATTTTAATTTAATAAAATAATAAATATAAATATGTATAAAATTCATTTGGAAATTTATTATTTATTTATTTATAAATAGAAAGTGGAAAAATAAATAAAATTTTATAATAAATTTTACAAATAAAAATAAATAAAAAGAAATGAATAATATTAAATTTTATTTAGTTTTTTTTATTAAATGTTTTTTTTTAAATTAATGGAGTAGTAAAAAATTTTGATAATAAAATATGATATAAATGATTATTAAATGACAAAAAATAACTTTGGTTGGTGCGTGGGTAGAGGGAGAATTTTTTTGTAGTACAATTTTTTTAATAACTTTTAAAATGTATTATCAGTCGTATATTGTAACTGAATGTGACAGTTCATTGCTTGGCATTACTATGGGAAAATACATAAAAAGTACAGTAAACTTTCATTTTTATCAAATTGGTCGTATGCGAGCAATTTATGAAAGCTTTTCACGATGCCCCTTACAACAGTGACCCCTCAGATTTATTGAAATGTCTACTATACCAATTTATATGGAAACTTGAAGCCATAATGTTAGTCCCTTTTTTCAAAAAAAAAAAAAAGTTGTAAAATATTTTAAAATGTTCCCCATTATATAATCACACTGAAAAAAATTTTTTTTCTGAAGCATATAAACAGTTTCCTGCCAAAGAAATATTTGAACCGAATTATTTTTATTTCAATCAATAATTTCTTGTTTTTTTGGAAGGAATAATTTTTATTTCAATCAATTTCTTGTTTTTTGGAACGAATAGTTTCTTTTGGAATGAATAATTTTTATTTGAATAAATAATTTCTTGTTGTTTGTAACGAATAATTTTTATTTCATTCAATTTATTGTTTTTTGGAACGAGTAATTTTTATTTCAATCCATAATTTCTCGTTTCATGAAACAAATATCATTTAATGTATATAATAATAATAAGGAATGAAAAGATTTAAATAAATAAACAATAATTTCGAAAAGAGCAAGTCACTGTTTGCAATGACTGTCGGCCTATTTATTTGAATTTTTTTATGCGGATCTTATTAGATTCGCTTGCATGAATGAAAGAGTGTCGCACGAAAAAAGAATTTTAGTTTAAAACCAGAAAAATCGTAACGCAAACAATTTTTAATTAACTTTCGTCAAAATGAATTATAAATCTCTTGGATTCTTTTTTCTGTTGTGTTTTATCATCATGATGGAATTTGGCCTATCGAATGGACAAACAGATCGCGAGCGTGGTAGGTCACTTTTATTATGTATTTTAGATTATTTTGTTTCCTAAAAAAAACCTTTAATTTTTTTCTTTTTTTTATATTTCATTTGTTCTTTATTTTATTTACTTTTTGCTTTTTCTTTACTTTTCTGTTTTTTTCTTTTGTTTTGATTTTTGTCTTTTAGTTTCACTTTTGCTCTTTTCTGTTTCATGCCTCTCACTTGTTCTTTTTTCTCATTTTATTATTTTATCTTTTGTTTCTTTATTGTTTTTGGTGAAACTTTAAAGAATATTTACACTTTAGAAAAATTAAATAATTAAATTTACAATTTTTGAAAAATTCTCCAAAAAAAAAACTAGATCTACCTTTCAATTTTTTATGTAATCGAATTTTTTTTTCTTTTCATCAAAATATTTTAACTTTTAGTAAAAAAAAATTGTTTTTGACAGTTTGTAGACAACCAATAGTGACTGGTTCTTGTCGAGGATATTTTCCACGATTTGCTTATGTTCCTTCAGAAAGATCGTGTCAAAGGTTTATTTACGGTGGATGCAATGGTAATTTAAATAATTTCGAATATCTCATTCATTGCGAAATGTTTTGTGAAGGAGTCAATTAACTTTTCACAAGAGTGATAAATATTAAAATAATTCACATCTTTTCAAATTGTGTAACTAAAGAGTTGACAAATATTGTATTTTATATAAATAGGCTTTAAATAAAATGCCATCAATATATAGAATTTAAAATTCATTTTTCTGATCCTATATTTATAAATAAGCGGAATAAAGAAATTAAATATTAAATTTTACTAGAATATGTGATAACAAAAATTCTGTAAATATTCATTAAGCTAAATAATTCATCTTGTTTTCTATTTTAACAATACAATCCTCCGTGCAATTTATTCTTACAATCGAAAATACTTCTGATATTAATTTATTTAATACTAACAAGAAATATTATTCACCAAAGAAAAAAACTTATAAAAATATTCTTATTTTAAGAACAGCATAAATTGATGTACATATAAAATGTTCCTATTCAAATTAGATCTGTCAAATTAAACAAGTTCCTAATTTCAGAAGACATTTTCTTCGGTATTCAAAAAAATCAAAAAACTGATTTTAATTTTAAATTAATAAATGTATATTCTGACAATAAAAATAGAATGAAGACGGTTTTTGTATTCATGCAAGAGCTAAGATTAATAAACAAGATTCTTCAATTATAGGAATACGTATAATTTTACCAATGCGGAAATATTAATGCATTGTCATTTTTAGTACCATATTCATTATTATGCTCGTGACATTTTCCTGAATAAAAATGTTATTTACAAATGAATTGAAACTCTTTGAAGGCAACCAATTACGGAGGTATATACACTTTTGTTGCGCATACAAGCAACATAATATTTTCTCTGCGGATGTGTATATATATATGAGCGCAAGAGTAAAGTGCCGTTTTTCATAAGTTATATTACTTGTGGCATTTACTTCACGTTTTCATTTGAAAACATCGTCCTTTACCATTAATGTTGTACTTAAGCAAGCGCAAAAAGCGGGTACCGTACCTACATTTTTACAAGCTTGTACGTACTGTATATATATATGTGCGTATGAAGTTTTGTAAGAGAGCGTACATTGTTACTTTGTAATATGTATATTTCTACATATATATAAATTTTCCAAGATGTATATATGTATGTATATAAATACGCACAAGTGTGGACACGTGTTTACGTTATGTGTCCAACGAAGTTCGCACCTGTAAAGTAATAATACTAATGTTTCTTCGCGTGCATCCGACTTTTTATGAGCTTTTCCTTGCGCACGCGATGCTCTATATGGCTTACGCTTTTACGTACAAATGAGTAATGTTTCCGTGCTTTTGCGACAAACTCCCTCGAGAGTACACAGCTGATGTCGTCTTAATGCATTTTTTCGAATAGAAATAAATTCCATCCTACATTTATATCTATATGCACTTTCGCAAGAAAATCTGTACGTACGCGAAGAAATATGATACTTCACTGGGGAAAAATCTGGATATTCTGTCTGCAGCAATTTTTACCTTCCAAATATTTTCGACACTTAGAGCAATTAAAAAAAATATTTTTTTCTACCACACGCACCGAAAGTACACCATTTCCTACGTGTTTAGCGGGAAAAAAGTGTATGATTCCCTGCGAGCGGGAGGGAATGTACATTCCCTCCCGGCTAGTGACGTCACCGGGAGGGAATGTAACATTCCCTACCTGTGAGGGAGGAAAAGTAACTTGCTTTCTCGGTAATATTATCAAAGTATGACCATTGGTGAATCAGTTACGTGAGTTACGTCAGCTAAGTGACTTACGTAACTTACGCGAGTTACGCAAATGGTGTAGTTACGTAACTTACGTAAATGGTGTAGTTATGTTAGTCTTTTGAGTTACAAATAATAAATGATTTACGTAAGTTACGTAACTTACGTTCCTTACGCTACTTGCGTAAACCTACGCTCTTTGGGTTAGTTTAGTTATTTCAAGCTTTTCACAAACTTTCAGTTACCACAGTTGTAACTATACCGCCCCCAGCTACAACTGTACATTCAAAAGTAACAATCAAACTGCCGCGTTTGTACTTTCGGTATACGTGTGTTAGAAAAAATAGTATGTGCAACTCGGGAGGAAAATTGATTTTCACTCGTGTTTTACAGTTCTCGGCTTCGCTCGCAAGCACTCGCCTTCGGCTCGTTTGCTCGCTACGCCTCGAACTGCAAACTACACTCGTCGGAAATCATCCATTTCCCTCCCTTGATGCACAATCTACTATTATTTATTTTATTAAGGACAGATGGAAGAAAAAGTGATTTTCGTGGTCGACTTAGATGGTAAAGTGGAAATTTGGTCAAATAAAAATTGTATTAAATAAAATTTCTAGCGTATGAACATTTTGACAAATAGAAATTGTATTAAACGGAAATTCTGTTCAATAATGAAAATTCTAGCAAATGAAAATTTCGATAAATTAAAATTCGACGTAATGGAAATTTTGCCAAATAAAATTTTTATTATGCATAAATTTTGTTTTATATAAATTTGTTTAAATGAAAATTATAGTAAATAAAAATTCACACAAAGAAATTTCGGTTAAAGACAACTTCTAACATATAAAATTATGTCTTTCAAAAAGAATAAAAAAATGGTTTTATGGAATAACAAAGCCCCCCAAATAAATACAAATAAAATATAAATATATATAAAGATAATTTTCTTTTTTTTATTTCTAAATCACCTTAATTCTGAAAATGAATAACGAATATTTATTAACATAATATTTTAATTTCCTTTAGAAATTCATATTCTTCTTCAAAAGTATTCAATTTTTTGTCAAAAACTTATATTCAATTTTTATCAATTTTACTCAATTTTCATTAAAAATTTATATTTTTGCTTAAAAGTGATTTATTTGTTTATGAAAAAATGACTAGATTTTTCTTCTTTAAGAATTCACACTCTGCTTTAAAAATATCCAACTTTCATCAATAATGATTAATTTTCTTTAAGAATTAACATAAACCTTCAAAAATATTGAATTTTCATCAAATTTGATCAATTTTCTTCAATAATTAACATTAACTTTCCAAAATACTCAACTTTCATCAAATTTACTCAATATTCATTAAAAATTTATATTTTTGCTTAAAAGTAATTATTTTTTTATGAAGTAATAACTAGATTTTTCTTTTTTAAGAATTCACACTCTGCTTTAAAAATATTTAACTTTCATCAATAATCATCAATTTTCTTCAAGAATTCACAACAACCTTCAAAAATATTGAATTTTCATCAAATTTGATCAATTTTCTTCAATAATTAACATTAACCTTCAAACATACTCAACTTTCATCAAATTTGATCAATTTTGAATATAAAATCTAATTAAATATTTTTTATCTATTTCACTATTTTTTAAAATATAATTTTTTTATTTCTAAATCACCCTAAATTCTGAAAATAAATAACTAATATTTATTAACATAATATTTTAATTACCTTTAGAAATTCATATTCTTCTTCAAAAATACTCCATTTTTATCAAAAACTTATTCAATTTTCATCAAATTTACTCAATTTTCATTAAAAATTTATATTTTTGCTTAAAAGTAATTCTTTTTTTATGAAATAATTACTACATTTTTCTTTTTTAAGAATTCACACTCTTTTTTTAAAAATATTTAACTTTCATCAATAATGATCAATTTTCTTCAAAAATTAACATTAACCTTCAAAAATACTCAATTTTCATCAAATTTGATCAATTTTCTTCAAAGATTTCGCATTAACCTTGGAAATTCTCAACTTTTACAAAATTGGACCAATTTTTATCAAAAAACTAATTAAATATTTTCCATCAATTTTTTTATTTTCAAAAAATACTTAATAAAATAATATATATTATAATATATAAAATTATGTTCAATTAAATTCTAATAAAGTGAAATTTATGTAATTTAGAAAATTGATCAAATGGAATTTCTCTTAAATAATATTTCGGAGAAATCAAAATTCGTCTAAAAAAGAATTCTTTTAAATATTTTTTATTTAAAAATTCGTTTAAGTAACATTCTGTTCAATAAAAATTCTACCAAATGAAAATTTGGATAAATTAAAATTCGACGTAATGGAAATTCTGCTAAATAAAATTTTTATTATGAAAAAATTTTGTTTTTTAAAAATTGGTTTAAAATGAAAATTATAGTAAAGGAAAATTCGCAGAAAGAAATTTCGGTTAAAGACAACTTCTAACATATAAAATTTTGTTTTTCGAAAATAATAAAAAAAATTTGTTTTATGGAATAATAAGGCCCCCCAAATTGATTCAATTAAAATTTTAATAATTAATATATATTAATATAAATAAATATAAAGATAATAAATATACAAAAATTTATATATGTATATAAAAGTAAAGAACGTGAGTCTGTACGAATAAGATACGTCAAGTCGATAGAAAGAGACAGCGAGTGTTCCTAACGTCCCCTCTTCTTTCTCTCTCTAAAGACGTAAGCGCGAAAAAAATTGGACGCGCAGGCGCGTAGAGGCTGCGCGGATAGTTTTTTTCCCGACAATTTTATGGATCTCAATATTTTCAAAAAATTACTTAACTAAAATGAAAAAAATATTTTTATTGAATATTTATTTAAGGTCAGGTGAAAGAAATAGGAAAAAAGTAAAAAGATAACCAAAAACAATTTGGTTATTAATTCAGTTTTTTTATTCGCTTAGTTATTTATTTAGTTATCGAGCAGTATTCTTTTTGCTCGAACCTAAAAATGTTGAAATTCTCCTAAAATACAATATTTTGTTCTCCGGAAAAGATTCCCAATTTTATATCAAGGCCAGGAGTGTAAATATATCTCATATAAAAATTGTAGATACTACACTTTTTTTTCATCAGACCTGGCAGAATTATTTCACATTTCTTCCATAAACTCTGCTCTGATGAAATATTACCAAGCGAATATATATTGCTCTCCAACCGGCAATTTTAAATTATATATACATATATACACTATATCAAATAAGTATGAAACTTTTTAAAAATTTCAATTAAGTTTGTTAAAACTAAATGG